TCTACTAAAAATACAAAAAATTAGCCGGGCGTGGTGACAGGCACCTGTAGTCCCAGCTACTCGGGAGGCTGAGGCAGGAGAATGGCGTGAACCCAGGAGATGGAACTTGCAGTGAGCTGAGATCGCGCCACTGCACTCCAGCCTGGGTAACAGAGCAAAGACTCCATCTCAAAAAAATAAAAAAATAAAAAAAGTCAAAAAGTAACATACTGGTGAGGTTGCAGAGAAAAGGGAATGCTTATACACTGTTAGGGGAGTGTAAATTAGTTCAACCATTGTGGAAAGCAGTGTGGCAATTCCTCAAAGAGTTAAAGCAGAATTACCATTTGACCCAGCAATCCCATTACTGGGTATATACCCAAAGGAACAGAAATTGTTCTATCATAAAGACACAAGCACGGGTACATTCATTGCAGCACCATTCACAATAGCAAAGACATGCAATAAGCCTAAATGCCTATCAATGGTAGACTGAATAAAGAAAATGTGGTACATACACACCATGGAATACTACGCAGCCACAGAAAAGAATGAGATCATTTCTTTTGCAGGAACATGAATGGAACTGGAGGCTGTCATCTTTAGCAAACTAACACAGGAACAGAAAAACAAATACCGCATGTTCTCACTTAAGAGGGGGAGCTAAATGATGAGAACACATGGACACAAAGAGGGGAACAACAGGCACTGGGACCTCCCAGAGGGTACAGGTTGGGAGAAGGGAGAGGAGCAGAAAAAATAACTATTGGGTACTAGACTTAGTGTCACCTGGGTGACAAAATAATCTGGACATCAAACCATTATGACCTGAGTTTTTCGATATAACAAACCTTCACATGTACCCCTGAACATAAAATAAATGTTAAAGAAAAAACAAAATCTAATAATATTCTGGAGAGAGGAGAAACATGACACTTTTGATTATATACTATATATATTTTATCTTTCTCAAAGGAAGTAAACATGATGGCTATGACCTTTATTAACATCTAATTTTTATAATGATATTTCCAGTAACAAGCATTTACAATGAACTGTAAACTGAGCTTCAGTTTCATCAAGAATAAAAGATCTTTGAAACAGTACCTTGCACAAATGTTTGATCTGGATACCTGCTCTCAAATCCGTTGGTTCAGCTTCAAAATACTTGCTTTGTATTTGCTCATAAAATTGACTTACTTCAGTTTTTTTCTCAGGTGATTCCACAAACCAGTAAGAGCGCTATGAAGGGAAGAAAAGTACAATCACTGCCATGGCACGGAAAGGCAGTACTAAACAATACTTTGGTCTGTTAGCTTTTGTACTGAGATGGATTGCACAAAATTTCTTGAAATTAAAATTTTGCAGCTAATTGGCTAGTGTCTCAACACCCCGTGCATAAAACATGGACCATCCTTTTTTTTCTTTTTTTTTTTTTGAGACAGAGTCTTGCTTTGCTGCCCAGGCTGGAGTGCAATGGCGCAATCTCGGCTCACTGCAACCTCCACCTCCTGGGTTCAAGCAATTCTCCTGCCTCAGACTCCTGAGTAGCTGGGATTACAGGCACCCGCTACCATGCCCGGCTAATTTTTGGATTTTTGTAGAGATGGAGTTTTGCCATGTTGGTCAGGCTGGTCTCAAACTCCTGACCTCAGGAGATCCACCCACCTTGGCCTTCCAAAGTGCTGGGATTACAGGCGGGAATCACTGCATTGGCCCCATCATATATTAATGTCTTTATGCCAGAGTTTAATCCTTTATAAAACATTTTCCTATAAAAGTGATAGATGACTCATAATTTGTAAAGTTTGAGGTCTCAAGTTTTTTTGTTTTGTTTTTGTTTTTGAGATGGAGTGTCGCTCTGTCACCCCAGAGGGAGTGCAATAGCACAATCTTGGCTCACTGCAACCTCTGCCTTCCGGGTTCAAGAGATTCTCCTGCCTCAGGCTTTAGAGTAGCTGGGAGTATAGGCACGCCACCACGCCTGGCTAATTCTTTGTATTTTTAGTAGAGACAGGGTTTCACCACGTTGGCCAGGATGGTCTTGAACTCCCAACCTCAGGTGACCCACCTACCTCAGCCTCCCAAAGTGCTGGGATTACCAGTGTGAGCTACCGTGCCCAGGCGGTCACAAGCTATCATCTACCACTATTTACGTTTACTGGAGGGCTTAGAGGGGATCAGGAAATGGCTAGTGAATTAGTATGGCTGGAGTGTAAATGAAAATGGTTCTTCCACCTGACCTACTGATTCTATTACAGACAGAGCTTTTATAAACGTCATAAATGAAGTTCATAAGGATGGTGCCTCTATCAATAACAAAAGAATTATAATTTACCTGTAAGAAAAAGTTCCACGGCTTGGGCACACCGTAGCTTCCTGGAAAGACAGCTTCTATGTACCAGGCCACAAGGCTATACAAGAAAGCATCAAATAAAAACATTCCCAGCACATGGGCAAAATAAAAGTTATCCAGTGTAGTTGATGAGAAGATGTTATTCCATTTAAGTCCAACTCCTAAGACATAACAGCAGAGGATGAATTTGGTGCCAACTGAGGTTAAAACAGTTATTTATCTATATCAAATTAAATACTTAAGAAAATAATTGTGTTGATGCTTTCTGGAGATCCCTACTACAGTCAGTCACTTTCTTGCACCCTTAGAATTTAGGTTGCCCCTGAGGGCATCTCAGTAACTAATCAGGTAATATGCTCCCCATTATACCCCAAACAAGCAAATAATTGGAAAAGACTGAAACAAAAATAAAATGTAGCTGTGTGTGGTGGCTCACACCTGTAATTCCAACACTTTGGGAGGCTTAGGCGGGCAGATCACCTGAGGTCAGGAGTTCGAGACCAGCCTGGCTAACGTGGTGAAACCCCGTTTCTACTTAAAACGCAAACATTAGCTGAGCATGGTGGCAGGTGCCTGTAATCCCAGCTGCTCGGGAGACTGAGGCAGGAGAATCGCTTGAACCTGGGAGGCAGAGGTTGCAGTGAGCTGAGATCACAC